TTTATAATGCGGTTTATCTCAAAATTAACCTTGACTTGTGAACCACTATTTGGTCTCCTGAAGAAATGGAAGAAGTTCCAATGGGATGATCGATATCAGTTCGCCTTCGAACAGGTCAAATAGTACTTGCAAAATCCACATGTACTGTCACTACCAGAATTGGGAAAGCCGCTGATCTTGTACTTGTCAGTGACGAATTCGACCATGGGATGCATGCTAGCTCAAGAATCATATGCTAAAGTAGAAAAGGTCATCTACTATCTAAGCAAGAAGATACTGGACTATGAAACCTGCTACACTCCTCTCGAGAAATCTTGCTTAGCCTTGGTATGGGCTATGAGGAAGTTAAGGCACTATCTGTTAGCTCACTCCATAATTTTGGTTTCGAGACTAGATCCCATCAAATATCTTTTTGAGAAACCAGTGCTTATGGGTAGGCTAGCTCGTTAGTTTCTTTTTCTCTCCGAATTTGATCTTAAGCATGTCACGCACAAATCAGTTAAAGGAAGAGTGGTAGCTAAATTTTTGGCAAACCACCCAGTGAAAGGAGATGAGGCGGTAGAGTATCTATTCCCAGATAAAGACATTTTGCAGGTTGAAGAGAAAACATAGACAATGTACTTTGACGGAACCTCTAATCAGTATGGTTATAGGATAGGTGTGTTGTTGATAGCACCCGATGATTTCCATATACCCTTAGCTTTCAAACTCCAGTTCAAAGTGTCCAACAACGAAGCAGAATATGAAGCATGCATTGTGGGATTGGAAGCCGCCCTAGAACTAGGGGCAATAAGGTTGGACATCATTGGAGACTCGAACTTGGTTGTTTCTCAAGCCAACAAAGATTGGAAGGTCAAGGAAGAAAGCATGAAGGTGTATCATCAGGCCCTGGATATTTTGATTCTGAGGTTTAAAAAACTAACGTTTACACATCTGCTGAGAGAGAACAATCGGTTTGTTGATGCATTGGCAACTTCTATAGTAGATGTCCTACTTGGAGTCAGGATGTGTCCAATTATCATCAAACAGAAGTATACACCTGCTTATGCGACCCTTTCAGTAATCGCAATAGACGAGGTTCAAGACAAGAACCCCTGGTATTACGATATTTGGAATTTTCTAGAAAAGGATACGTATCCACCAGGGAAAAATGCTAAAGATAAGCGAGGAATATGGCATATGGTTGTCCAGTTCATCATCTGCGGAAACAAGTTGTATAAGAGGGGGCATCTGGGAATGCACAAGCTCAGTGTCAAAGAAGAGTAGTCGAAGCACCTCATGGAGGCCATACACGGAGAAGAGTGTGGAGCAAACATGAATGGTGTGATACTAGCTCGAAAAATCCTCAAACAAGGCTATTACTGGTCAACTATGGAGGAGGATTGTATTAGTTTTGTTCAGCGATGCCACAACTATCAAATTCATGTCAATCGCATGAACATACCGCCATCAAAGCTTTATAATATGACTTCGCCATGGCCTCTCTCAGTCTAGGGAATTGATGTCATTGGGGTAGTCTCGCCAAAAGGCTCCAATGGGCATGAGTGCATTCTAGTGGCGATCAACTATTTCATTAAGTGGGTGGAAGCTCAGTCTTACTCTATGTTGAAGGTATCACATGTGGCCAAGTTTATAAAGAACAACATCATCTGCAGTCACGAGGTGCCAAATGAGATCGTCTCAGACAACGACTCGCACTTCAAGAAAGAGGTGGTCGATTTGCTTAAGAAATATAACGTGGCTTTTCACAAGTCATCAACGTACAAACCACAGACCAACGAGGTTGCTAAGGCCACCAATAAGAATGTCAAGAACATTCTATGAAAGATGGTTGAGACTTATAAAGACTGGCCAGATAAACTGTCATTTGCTCTTTAGGGTTATAGAACGTCAATTCGGACATCCACGTGGGCTACCCCCTATTCATTATTGTATGGAATGGAAGCTGTTCTGCCAATTGAAATTGAAGTACCGTCACTCAGAATCATGGCCGAGTGTTAGATAACAGAGGCGAATTGGCAACAAAGCAGGTTTGAAGAATTGATGTTGTTTGATAAGAGGAGATTGAAGGCAATGTATCATATCCAAGGCTACCAGAATAGAATTGCTAGGGCTTTCAACAAGAAAGTTAAGTCTAGGAATCTCAAAGAAGGAGATATGGTGCTCAAAAAAAAATCGAGCCCCATCCATGACCCTAGGGGCAAGTTTAGACCCAATTGGACTGATCCTTACATCATCAAATCTATCTGGTCATGAGGAACGATTATCCTTATGGATCTAGATGGCCTAGAGTTCTCGCAGCCGATCAACATGGACAAGTTGAAGAAATACTATCCCTGAGAGGCTAGCTAGGCCAAAAACCTGAAAGGGCAACCTAAGCAAAAGCTAGAGCATGAAAAATTAAAAATAAAGAAAAACTGAGCTCGCAAGGTTGAAAACCCAAAAGGGCAGCTTTCACAAAAGTTAGAGCACAAAAGGAGAGTGTTAATACTCGAGTGAACCCGACCCGAACTACGTAAGGCCTAATTCTCATCTTTAGGATACATAGGCAACTTCATCCCGAAGTTCAGCTATAACCATCTCCACCTCAACCGTCCTGTCCATTTTTTTGATGATGACGGACATGTGGCCTTCGGCACCGAGTCAGGGTTTCCTAAATTTCCCCATTTTAAAAATATTTAGGTGGCGACTCTGTATCTGGCAAAGCAGTCCATGTTTGGCACTACTTTTTCAAAAATCTGTTTCTCAAAACGATTTGCCAGACTTGGACTCTTTGGTTCAGATTAAGAACCGCGGCAACAAAAATCGCAAGTCCGAACTGTAGTAGCATAAGGCCCCCCTCCGCGGGCGCGTCTACAGCCATCTTTGTCTATCGTCTTCTAGCTTAGTCAAGTTACCACCATTCAATAAAAAGGCCAGTTGTACTATGAAGCGGTGAATGCAGTTCTGCACAGTTATGATTTTCTGATTTGGGGTTGTATTTCTTAAGGGTCGATTCCGTGTGTGTTAGGTAGTGACCGTTTCCGAAAATCATTTTGAAAAGTTTTAATAAATTGGTTTTTCTCAAAATTTTACCCTTTTATAACTTAGACCATTTTAGACCAAAAAGGAAAAAATTCAGTGCTCACAACTTTAATTATATCGATTTCACACAGGTACATTCTCCAATTTTTGATTAAACCAAAGTTGTTTTTACATCATAAAAACTTGAAAAGAAAAGAAAAAGCAATAAACTAGGGGCATAGATAAGTCAAATGGTTCTATGTCTTTTGCTTGTACTCGTGGAAGACTCTGTAGCTAAAGATGGCACAACCTGTTCCTCGTCCTCGAGCCAAGCAAAGCACTTGCCAGAAAGGGCGTAATTAAAGGTAGGGACAGGGGCCAGAATCTCTCTCGTCCTCCAAGCAGTGAGGTAACAAGGCAAGTGTGAACCACGAACAGGAAATGGAACTGGGTATTCCACCCCTTCCTCCGAACAAGTCTGATCGTGTCCAAACTAGTGTCTGAACCAAAATGGGAAATAGAATACCCAGTGCATGAGGCCAATCAACTATATACTCGACTGTCAAGACATGATGTAGCTCATCTCAATCAAGTTAAGCCAGGGGCAACACCAAACGATGTCAGCCGCAGATCTGCTGCACATCCAGTCACACCACCATCCCTCTGAAGGGAAATCCACTAGCCACTGGCGAAAGAAGTAGGCTCTAGCCGAATATGCAAGACAAGGGTCCACCACTTTCAACTTATCCGTCAACTACACCTGGGAAGGGATGGAAAATAAGATAGATTAAAGAATAGAGAGGTGTGTTGAGGAAAAAGTAAGAAAAGGGCATCAAGTGAAAACAGAGAGTGATTGCCGAGTGATGCGAGAAATCATAAATGAGAAAGGATGGGAAACAATACCTAGAGAAGCAGTGGGCTCCCTACAAATCAAGTAGTCTCTCACCGATGGAAAACGTCTAAACCCATCAAGGTTTTAGCCAATGCCAAACCCATGCAACTCTTACCCTCTTTCAAACATTGGGTTACTTCGATTAACCTAATGCTCGTTCCATCGTAACTAGGGGCAAGTAGGAAGGGCTCAAGTAAGCATAAGCAAAGGGCATATTGGCGGTAGCTTCGCCAGAGAAGATCACTCCTATATCCAATAACCGAAAAGCGATGAATCAAATCAGGAATATCTACCTCCCCGTCGTGGGCTAGAGATCGAACCTCATGCAAAGTAAGCCCACACGTCTGTTCCAAAGCCCGTGCATGGCTAAAGCAAAGTTGGGGCATAATTTCCTCATCACACCCTGACTCCATCAAAGCTTGAAATTCTTCAAGTGTAGTGCACATTTCTTGGGCCCCAAAGCGCAATATGTGTGTAATTGGGTTCCAATATCAAACTGCAACATCGAGGAATGGAAAACAAAGCGAAGTACGGCTCAAAGGAAAAAGAGCATTTATGCCAAAACCGCAAAAATTCATTTTTTCGAGCCATCCAAAGTGGCTATCCAGTCTTGAAGCCTATTATTGAGTAAAATCTCTATCTTGAGAGCAAAATATCAAAGACTTGCTATTCTACCAGAAAAACAGCATGGGAGCACCTTTTGTAGAATTTGAGAAGAAATAGTGCATAACAGCTGGATTGCACTGACCGACATCTTTTTTAGACCCGGTCGTTTCTTATTGGGGCTCGATTGTGCCCTTTTTGGCCTAGTTGTGTCTCAATGTGTGGCCAGAACAACAATGCTTGCAAAAAGGGTCAGCTTTGGTGAGGTATCTTGTTGTTTTGTTTTCAGTCTACTTTTGGTCCCTACAAGTGTTTTGTAGTGTTTTTGGGTTGTTTTCATTTCATTTTTCTGTTATCGAGTTGTGTTTTTCATTTTGTTTGATTGTAGGTTATTATTCGATTCAAATAAATTCAAGAGCAAGCGTTCACAATTAAAGTCTTGTACAAGGTTATCATGCAAGAGTTTCGCCATCCATCGCATGTTATGCAAGAGAAATCATCCACAACTTCTTTTTCATAAACTAGTGGGTCCAACCCCGATCACTGTTTTACAAAACCAAAAGCAAAAGAAAAGTCTTCAAAAAACAAAACATACAGGTTTATTTGAAGCTACATAGGTCCTAACTACAAAGCAAAAGAAAAGAAATGTAAAAATCAACCTACCCTGGCCCTCTTCATCCTCGGTCGTAGGGAAAATGCGTCACTGTCATCACTAGCGCTGTTGGATTGGATGTCGGCATCATTCCCCTATTCTTCAGAGGTTGTGTACTCATCGAAAGTAACCTCAAAAGAAGGTGAGTGTTGTCTCACTCTACCTCTCCCACAACCAACCCATCATCTACCTCTCATCGGGCCCCGTCTCGCTCTTCTTTTTCCAGCTGGAGAAGGTCCTACAGGTGCAGCTAGCTCCAGCTCAAGCTAAAAAGAGTACAGATATTAGAATAGATGCAACAGGATTATGGACAAGTTTGTAACAACTGTGGACAGAGTATACCTCGATCCCGTGAGTGACTAGAGCAATTTGTCTCCTCCGTACCATGAGAAGCAGTCGGTCAACCGTTTGAAGGAGGTCATCAACATACCCTCCAGACACCTACAAAAAAAGAGAAAGGATTTGAAAATGTGAAATAAAGTGATAAAGCACAATGGGTAGGAATATAGGGGAAGTATGTACTTACTCGACGCCGGGAGCAACCACTAACCTGCAATCTCTCTCCTCAATGGGCTCAAGGGGGATCTTCTCGATCACCCTGTCAGGTCGCATATATACCACCTCTGTCGGTATCTCAAGAAGCTCCGGAACGGGAGCAGCAGCAGGAACACCTTTAGCGGCAGCAGCAGCAGCCTTATGAAGTGCACAGACCACACCCCTAGTAAGAGGGGCCATAATCTGAGTCTGTAAGAAGGCAATGAAGTCACTAGCCCTGTGGTACCAATCACCATCCTCTCTCTACATAAGGTAATCAATCAGGGACCCTTCGTGGAGATCATCAGCTATCCTCATGCTTGAAGCGAGGGATATGGAACATCAGATTGGCTTTCCCTCGAGTATGATGGACGAACCTCTCTTTCAAGTAATAAGCCCTGCCAAAAGGGCCCTCGAACAAAATCCTCTTAGTGGAGGTATGCTATGCAGCAACACAGGTCGTCCTGGATGCTTGAGAAATACTTGCCTAGGGGTGCTAGTCAATCTGCGAGTGGAAGATGCAAGTCAAGTGTTAGATATCAGGGATTGAACAAGAGTACAGAAACAGTGGAAACAGTAAAGGATAAAAGCTAGTATCAGATTTTGTTACCCTCTCCGTGGTGACAGTGTCAAAGAAGTGACAGAAGTAAGAAAAGTCACGGTCAGCATGTCATCGATGCTCAAATCGAGAGTTGTAGTACCGAGAGCAGGGTACAGACAACTCGATCGGTCGCATTGGGACTGGGGCTAAGGAAGTGAAGTATGTGTAAACCCACATCTATAAAAAGGAAACCAAGTGAACAAATGAAGTAGATATAAAAAGAAAAGGCAAAGCAAAAAAGCATGGTTGGTAGCAAAATAGAAAATGAGGTGTAGAGATGTACCTCACACGCTCTCTAGTAGCCACCAAATGAATTTTCAGCTGGATATAGAGCTCATATAGAAATATAAGGTGGCCAGGCTAGCGCCACCCCAGTCGTACTCCACTACCCGTGGTAGATGCACCAGTGCTCCCAGGATGTATAGTCGCACGGTATTTTCCCTATTCACAAACAGAGTAGTACCGAAGAGATACATAAGGAATTCGTGGGTATACTGAGCAATCTCATCAGGAGTAGCTGGCTGAAGGCCAGATAAGTGGTCCAAGAACCAGCTGTAGCGTACCATTCCGTGGCCAGCCGTACCTGGGATCGCCCCAAGAAGATGAAGCTATGCAACACTCCACTGTGTCATGTCAGGATCAAATAGGATCGGGTTACCAACCCTTACCCGCAAACCTGTGAGTATTGAAAAGTCATACAGGGTCAAAGTCATCTCCCCGATCGATGAGAAGTGGAAAGAGTTGGTGCTGTCCCACCACCTCTCCACTAGGGCCCCGTATAGTAGTGGCTCGGCCCTCATCTGTATAAGTCCTGAGTAGAAAGGCCTAAAGCCAGCGGCGTCAACTAGTGTGCGAACCTCTGTATGGAGCCTCTCATACCAATGCCGGGCGCCAGAAACAGATCTGTAACCGTCTATCCTTCTGGCTATCACTTGTAGTATGGGAATGTTATCAGTATTCGCAGTAAAGGACAATAAAAGATTTTCTTATGAGATTCAAAATATGTTTGAAACCAAGAAAAGGTTGCTTACCATGGAGGCATTCGCAGATAAGTGCTCTATAGGCTCTCGCAATAGGACATCCTCATCAATCCCTAGGATAAGGCCCTCGAATCTCATAATATCACCAGGGGACAAGGCGTGTGTGTGTGGCTGGTAGGTGGCCGCATCAAATGGTCTATCAGCCAAGGGAAGCAACTCAGGGTCAAGTACAGAAGGGAGAATGTCCTCAGCCTCCATGTCCCCACTGAGAACGGCTCTGATATCCGCGGCATGGTCCAGAATGGGGATCTCATCACTAGCCATAGAGGGAAAATGAGGAAATGTGAAGAAAAGTGAGTGGGTGAGTGAGATTGAGTGAAAAAACCTAAAAACCTAAACCCTAGAAGAGAGAAAAGAAAGAGATAAGGGGAAAAAACAAGAGAAGGTGTGTAAAACCCAAACAACTACGTGAGAATCCATGAAAAATCAAGAGAAAACCCAAAACTCAACTAAAACAAAGTTTGATCAGTTCAAAATATAGAAGAGTGAAAGGGTTTTAAGGAAAAAAATTTCAAGGGTGGTTGGGTAACGCAAAGAGAGGAAAAATTTAGAGAGGAGAATGCTAGAGAGAGAAAGAGAGGGTTTTTAGACCTTGGGTGTGTACAAAGGAAGGGTTAGTTTGTGTTTAATTAGCCACAGGTTGTGGTCTTCTCGAATTACCCCTTTGCCACTGTCGCGACCTGGTCGTGCTTCATTTAGGCCCGGTCGGCTCCAAATGCAGCACAGTTTTAGTTGTTTTGTTTGTTTCACTAAATGGGTGAGCCACAGTTCAAAATCAAAAAAATTGAAAAACAAAGTAAAAGAAAAGGACAGCAAAAGAAAACAGGAAAAAGAAAAAGAAGAGAAGAATAGAGAAGAATAGAAAGCAAAGTGGAAAAACAGAAAGCAAAATGGAAAAAAAACCAGAGTCAAAAGAAGAAAAAACAAGACAAAGAAGAAAACGAAAAATAGAGAGAAGAAAAGAAAACAGGAAAAAGAAAAAGAAAAAGAAAGAGTAAAAGAGGAGAATGAAAGAAAAGGAAAAGGATTTTGTTATTTTGTTGTTTTGTTTCATAATTTGTTCTGGAGATTGCGTTCACTTCTTTTCTCATTTTTTTTAGGTTTATTCGAGCATCATTTTAATCGTTTTGATTTGTGCATTTTTTTATTTTTATTTTTTTTGGATTGTCAAATTCACGTTCAAATCTTCATCGAAATTTGCGTTTTAACTTTGCACCTTGAATTGGATTATCCCCGTGAGCTTCATTCTCCGAGGCCTTCCTTGCTTTATCGAGTTCTGAAATTTGTTTTCTCTTTCGTTGATTCAATATCCACCTTTCGTGTGAGACGTGTTAGGTTGTGATTTTCCTCGGTTAAAAACATCAGGTGCGCCTGGTGTTCACACCATCTTTCCTCCTTTCACGTGAGACACGTTAGGTTGTGATTTTCCTCGATTGAAAACATCAGGTGCGCCTGGTGTTCACACCATCTGTCCTCTTTTCGTGTGAGACGTGTTAGGCAGTTGATTTTCCTCGGTTAAAAACATCAGGTGCGCTTGGTGTTCACACTATCTTTACTCCTTTCGCATGAGACGTGTTAGGCAATTGATTTTCCTCGGTTAAAAACATCAAGTGCGCCTGGTGTTCACACCATCTTTCCTTCTTTCGCATAAGATGCCTTAGGTAGTTGATTTTCCTCGATTAAAAAAAAAAAGGAAGGGTTGGTGTTCGCACCATCTTTCCTCCTTTCATTTGAGATGAGCTCAGAATTGATTCACTCGGTTAAAAACATTAGGTGTGCCTAGTGTTCACATGACCTTTCCTCCTTTCGCGTGAGATACGTTAGACAGTTGATTTTCCTAGGTTAAAAACATCAGGTGCGCCTGGTATTCACACCATCTTTCCTCTTTTCGTGTGAGACGCGTTAGGTTGTAGGTTTCATTCAGTTAAAAATGTCAGGTGTGCCTGTTTTTCACATCACCGTCCACCTTCTCTGTGTGAGACGTCGTTTTGCATGGAGTCTTTTTTTTCCTCTCTACGTGAGATGTAGTTTGGCTTACATTTTCTTACATCCTTTCTACGTGAGACATAGTTTGGCTTACATTTTCTTACATCCTTTCTACGTGAGACGTAGTTTGGTTTTTTATCTCTCGTTTTCCTTTCACGTGAGACGTGCTAGAATTGTTGTTTGCTTACTTTTCTTGTCTTCCTTTCACATGAGATGTGTTAGAATTGTTGTTTGCTTACTTTTTCTGTGTGAAACATGGTTGGATTTATTGTGATTTAAGCCTGCGGTTTTTTCATTCTTTTGTCATCATCTTGTCCTATTTATTATCCCATTGCATTGTTTTGCATGCTCATGAGTTTTCAAAAGTAACCAATTTCGCGCAGCGTGTAAACCCAATTTTCAAAATGCATCACATTTTATGTGTCATTGTGTATTCTGCCCCTGAACTACGCAGATTTGATTCCTTGCAAAGGGATACGTAGGCAACCATCGGGTTCAACCAATTGTATTTTCATTTGTTTCCATGTATAAGTCTTACGGCTTCATCAAATGGGTCATCTTTGGGCTTTGACATTAACTCACATCATTTCATAACTCTGAGCTCTGTCAAAGAGGGGCAACTGTAGACCCCCCATTTTTGACTGATCACAAGACTTGGGTGCTTTAGTCTGAGTACTCGATGATGAACGTTACATTTTGTCAATGGTTTGAATTCTCAACAAAGAAATCCGAATTCGAGCTCTAAACAATCCTAACCCTCTATACCCACATTGTTTTTATCTCAGAAATCCATTTTTGAGCACTATGTCAACCTACACTGAGCCTGAAACAGAGGAACAGATAGATCACATTGGGGCCTGGCCGTGCTTTTTGGGCGAGAAACACTGTTCAGGGCGAGAATCTGCCAGCTGTCTATTTTTGAAGATATTTATGACCTATTTGGCTCAAATTCTATAAATACGAGCTGATGCCTCTGTATTGAGGGTTAGAAAAATTTCAAAGAACTGAAACATCTTTAAGAGCTCTTTCTTCCTTTGCAAGCTATCTTTGAGCTAGCCTATCATCCTTGAACTATACACACACATCATATACACCCTTAAAGCTGAACCTTGGAGCCTTGGTTAAGCCTTGAGAACCATAATTTAACCTTGAGAGTGCTCTAGGATCAAGTTTGGTTTACAACCAAAGCTTGCTCCCTTCAAGAGGTATAAGTTTGCCACATTTTTCCTTACTTTCATTTCAATCTTTTCCTATCTTTTTCTTGAGTTTTTATACTGTTTTGGATCCATTCCAAGTGCTGAAACTTGGGGTTAAAGAGCTACCAAAGGTAGAGAAGTTTAACACCCTTTTTTACACCTTATCCCATAGCTCATACCCCCCTTGTTTTCCCACTCTTTTCTTTGGCTTACATGCTAATTTTCAGAGTTTAATAGGGCTGGAAAACATGGTTTAGAAGTCCTAAACGTGGAGGGGTTAGCCACCTCTCCTTGGTCTTGCTTACTAGTTTTGTGTCTCTTTGTTCTTACCTATCTTTTTGTGCTCTTTAAACATACTTTTAGCTACTGTTTTTTTCCCCCCACATTTTAGGGTTGTTTAGGACTATTTTAATTCATTTAATTAGTTTATGCTTTGAATACTTTGTTTGTTGTGTTGTAAGTCCTCATGGCTTCGGTTGTTTAGGCCTTAGACATCGAGCCATTTGAGTTGATAGCCTTATTTACCTTTCTTTCATGTAAAGAGTCCCACTTTTTGTAATAATCAACTTTGCATAATCATCTCTGCACCCTCCCTCTTTTCTTGATTTTTCTCATTTGAGAGTTATTTCAAACGAGTGTTGTTTAAGCTTGAGAAAGAGACTCTTCCATGCTTAATGATTTAATCTCTTCGGAGGTTCATTACCAAGGCATAAAATCTCTCTCATGCCAAGAACAATTTCTTACTTGACACTTCCCCCCTTTTAGTGGACTTAACTCTCATTTTTTTGGACAAAATGATTAAGTAATGGAAAGGTATGTTAAAAAAGGTTAATAATATCTGCTTAAAATTGGATCAACCGACATAAAGAAGATTAATAACATTGGTTGGATTTGGTCGGACGTTATACTGAATCCATCGCTTCTAGAGTCATCACATGCTAACTTGTGATGTTTTGAAGAATCTTGAGGCGTGTTTACCTCCCTCTTTGAACTAACTTCATAATAGGAGGGAGGGATGGTGTGTCTTTCATTACATTCATAAAGTTATGTCCAATTGTGTCCAAAACCATCAAGTAATCAACTTGCGCCTATTCATGGTTTCATAATCGAATTCGTTTTTCTCTTGAGCTTCACCATAATAGAGGAGCAGAAGGGACAAACATGGTTCATAGCTGCTCTGTTTGCACTGCTTTCACCTCAGAGCACAAAACATTTTTCTATAAGAAAATAGGGCACGGCCAGACTTGTTTGGACCCAGCTGGGCCTCACTGGGGCCAGTCAGGCTCCAATGATTGGTAAACAAAGTGCTTCTAGCAGAAACAGAGGGCAATGGCTGAGGTTGAAATAGAGCAGATTCCCAGAGGGCAGACAGAGCAGTTTTTGAAAACCGTCTTCATCGACGCGCATACAATCCTTGTGCATTTTTTTTTATTGTTGTTGTTTATATTATTGTTATTGTTATTGTTATTCATATTCTTGTTGTCATACCTTTGTTGTAATAAATTAGATAGTTAGTTATTCGCTCATTTATCATTCATTTGGTATTGTAATAGTTAGTTTAATTCAGACATTCAGACCCTCTTGCATATGGGCAAATATGTAATAATTGTGTATGTCTTCCAACCCCTGTTCTTTCTCCCTTTTATTTATCTACTTATAATGTTAGCATCATGTTTTACATTTTTTCATGTCATTACCATGCCTAATTTCCATTTTTTACGCATTTGCTTCGGTGCAGCATTCTAACTTTATGGTTGTCCCTTTATTATTAGAGTACATGCTTCACTACATGACATCAAATCAATTGATATGCTATGTTAAAAACCGAACCCTATAATTATAATTTGTATGTGTTGCATTAGACACTTGCATATTAGAGCATGCATTTTTCTATTCGGCTTGCCTTGGAGTACTAGGTAAGCATTCATTACTTTAGTATTTTGCATGAGTGTTTGTATTGTCATACCAAGTATGTTTTTCATGAGACTAAGTGCTTAAATGATATACCTATTTAAATATCGGTGGATGAAAGCTTTTTCACTTAAAATGGAATAATTTGATTAATGTACACACGAGCTCGCTTTTTCAAGTAACATGCATTTCAAAAAACAATTTTCAAAACAAACTTGAAATCAAATATTCCAAATTTTGAAAATAATTTTGTGAATTGATCTATACTTTTGTGCATCACCTAATAAAAGATAGCATAATAAATCGGGACAAGGGCATATAATGAAAATAAAAATCACATCATGATTAGTAGAGGCAGATCCTTGATCGGGTGAGTGGGGTGCTCAATTCATGACATTCCCCTCTCATACCTAAGTTCCCAAGCCAAGACACTATGGTGATAATGGACTAACGGCCTTAATGGCACGAGTCACGAATTTTCTAAATTTTTCAAAAATGTTTAGGTGACAACTCTAAAATTTAACAATGTTGTCCATTTTTGGCATTTTTATTCAAATCGATTTTTCAAAAAATTTGTCAGATTTAGACTCATTTGTGTTTATCTATTTCACATTGTACTTGTGAAATCAGATTCTGGAACCATGGGAGTCTAAACTGCAGGGCTAATTGTATCCGAAAGGAGCACAAAAAGAAAGCTACAAATGGACATGATCATCATGCCGAGAAGACATTGGTTCTTAATGAATCCATGATGCCAAACCCTAACACAGGAAGCAGTGCGCCAAAAAGGTTGAAATCAGTTAACAGCAGAGCGCTAGGGTGATCTAAGGAGGATTTATGTAACCTCCTTCCAAAAAAGAACAACACGGTCGAGGTTACTTCACTAAATGTGTTGAAGACCCCGTTCTCAAAGGAGTTGGAAGTGTTTAAGGCTCCGAAGAGGTTTTCCATTCCAAAGTTTCACACATATGATGATAAATTAGATCCTAACTTCCATATTGGTCTTTATCTTAATGCAATGTCATTATGGTGTGGATAGGATCCACTTCTTTGTAAGATGTTCCCGGTAACATTGGGGGACGTAACATCAGATTGGTTTTTGAAGTTACCAACAGGCTTAGTGAAGAATTGGGATGGTCTTGTCGAAATGTTCATTACTCGGTTTATTACCAATAGTATTCAAACTTTGAGGGTTGATTCATTGTTGTCTATGAAGATGGATATTAATGACGGCCTGAGAGCCTATGTCAAGAGGTATTGCAAGGTTTACAACCAAACTCCAAGTTGTAACTAGGAACTTGCCATTGTTTCATTTAAGAACAGCCTAGAAGTTGACATGGCATTATTTGCTTCCCGAACTTCCTTTCGATTATCCCCATTGTCATGCTCATCTTATCCGTCAAGTTTGACGCACTCTCCTTCCTCACTATACAAGTTGTCTCCAACCCATGGGTCTTGCTTGTTGTGTACAACGTTGGCCATCTATTCTGACTAAGTTCCCACAGACAGTGTCAAATTGTAGGTGTTGAATTTTGACCTCTCAACTAAATCGGATATCTTCGCCGACCGTAGAGCACGTATGAGAATAGAGAAGCCCAACACCTACACACAGATAGAAACAAGACCGGTGGCTCGTCCACCCAGGGCACTCTACGATCACGTCAATAATCTATCTCTCAAAGATATCGGCTAAACAAATAACTCTCAAATTAAAGTATACCTTAGACCTACGGAGGTACCTACCTTTTATAATCATCAGTGCCCTCCTCCCTTAGAAGTCTCACCTCATAAGTCTCTTAACCTTTCTAGGATATCACTTATCAATAACTCTCCCAATTTGGAATAGGATTAACTCTGTCAAGAGTCCTGACCTATCCAAACAGATATTTTTACATCATCTAGTACTCTCTGTCCTCATCCGAATATCTCAGACTCAAGTGCGAGATCACTACACCTCGGCAAACTAGGATCATCCACATGGCATCTCAGCTAATAACCTAGGCTACGTAGATGACTCAAAACTATGTCCCCACAAGAATAAAACTCCATTTGAAGCTTGGAATGAAAGAAAGCCATCGGTGAATCACTTAAGGGTGTTTTGTTGCATTTCTTGTGCTCATGTCCTAAAAGAAGTGAATCACAAGCTTGATGAGACTTCTAAAAAATGCATCTTTGTGGGTTATAGTTCAAAATCTAAAGGCTATAGACTCTATAGTTTGGACAAGAAGAAGGTGGTTATATCTAGAGATGTTCTCTTTGATGAGAATGCATGTTTGATTGAAGGAAAAGATAGTTCAAAATCAAGGCATTGCTTCCAATGAAAATTCATAAAGTCAACAAGTAGAAGATGTTGAAGCATTTGGATCTCCACAAAGATTGTCACCTATTGTTAGTTCACTATCTTCTCCAACTTCAAGTTCAAGTTCTTCATATCAAAGTTCTACTTCAAGAAGAATGAGGAATCTAAGTGATGTGTATGCAATATGCAATTTATGCATTATTGAACCAAAGAAATTTGAAGAGGCAATTAAAGATGAGGTATGGAAGAAAGCTATGGAAGATGAAATTCATGTGATTGAGAAGAACAAGACTTGGGACTTAGTGGAGAAATCGGAAGAAAAAGAAATCATTGGTATGAAGTGGATTGTTAAACAAAGTTCAACCTGGATGGATGGCTCTATTCAAAAGAGCAAAGTAAGATCAAAGATTAGGTTGCGGACATTTTCACCAAAGCTTTACCAATGGACGAGTTTGAATTTCTTAGAGAAATGTTGGGTGCCACACAATATATTAGTAAAGGGGAGTGTTAAACTTAATGTGATACATTGGATACATTAGATTCATAGCATTCTTTGTATTCTGTAATTAGTTTTTAGATACATTGTCTACATTCTTTATGTACCTAGTTATTTGAAAAGTTTGTGTAGGTTCATAGATCTTGTACGTGGAACTTGCTTATGGTTCATAAATCTAGTTCATGTAACATATTTATGACCATCAATATATAAGGTTGTAAGCCTATTGACAAATATATCAAATACAAGTCCAATAAAAAATCAATACAATTTGCAAATAATATTTCCTCCTTAAGAAAGTTTCTATCAAAAGCTAACAGGGAGAGCAGGTGATGAAGAAAGAACAGGTGAAGAGACAGCCATGGCATGTCCTTGTTGCTCTGATACCATGTAGAATATAATGAAAACTCAAACTCAGTAGGTTGTATATTAGGCTGTATACAAAATATTACAATCAGTTAATTACAAGTGGAAAACATATTCACAAATTGACAATAACAGCTATACACAAACTATGGAGACTATCTTGGAATGGAGAGAATCATGGGATTAAAGATGATTGACTTCCTTCTTAAAAAAAATATTCTCTCAACTATTTTACACAAAGATTTTGTTTTTCACCAAAGTCATGCAGCATATAATATATAGGCAAGTGACCTAACATCCCCAGTTCTCCTGTACAGGATTCAGAGGGGAACTGCAACTACTGACAAAACTACCTCTTCTAGTTGGAAATGATAATAAGGATAGTGATGATGATGAGCCCCTCGAAGCTTTCTTTGATATAATGGGCTTGGGAAGAGTGTATGATTTGTAGCTGTCTAAGCCACCCCCATAGCTCTTGGATGCCTTCATTAATTTCCTTCTGAAAGGGGTTTCTTTCTTTGGGAGATCTTCTATGCTTGTCACCATTGACAGAGATGCATAAGATTGAGACTTACCCTTATAAAACTTAGAAAGTCCCCTCCTGCATACCATTCCAAAGTTGTATTACTATATGAATTTTGCAAACAAGTGCTCCAAAGTACTTATTAACAAATTTAAAATAGTTATACATTTATTTATAAATTTATATACCGTAAAAAATGTATTATTATTTTAAATTTTGTTAATCACTACTCTAATAAGTAATACTCATTAACAATAAACTTTGATGTGCAAAATTGACCTATGCATCTGGATAAATATTAACAAAAAATTAAGTTCTGTTTGTGATTAAAGCATGTAGGGAGTTTTTAAGTGAATCAGAATATAACCCATTTAAAATAAATAAAATAGAATAAAAGTAAAACTTGTGATCCGTGTAATTTTTTTGTTGTGACAATTTGATTTTTGTAATTTTAATTATATAAATTTTTCTTTTTAATTTTTAACATTGTGTCAATTTAGATAACATCTATTAAAAAGTTGGACATAAATTAAATGTAAAATGATCAATTTAAAAGAATTAAATTATTTTAAGTTGAGAAGAATGATTAGAATACTTTACCTTTGGATTTCAGTCTAATTTTTAAATGATTATTATCAATAAAAATAAATTGACATAATATAAAAAATCTAATCATAAAATTGATGCAATTAAAATTATAAGAAGCAAATTGGCCTAAGAGCAAGCTACTAATACTACCGGTGCAAAAAATGAAAAATAAAAATAAAAAAGAACCTTTTCTAGTTCTCATCCATTTCTTTCAAGACAAACCACTTTAAGAATTGGTAAGGATAACGAGTTCATGGTGGATAATGGGTTTCAAGTCAATTAAACAAGAATTAGAATTACAGAAGAGCCTTGTCAATAAAGGAGACTTGAAATGCAAGTGATCTAAAAGTTTGAAATGAAAGCAAATGTTTGCAAAAGGTTTTATAGTTTTAAATCTTTCTAAGACACCATTCTTTCTGATATAACATAAATCCTACAAGATATATACAGTTACTTGATGGGTAGCTGGGCCATGAGCTCTGATAAATCATATAAAGGTTCGGTGGAGCACGAGGAGGATGATAAATTTGAAGTAGATGATGAAGATACATCATCTGCCATGTCTGATGATGATGATCCATTTGAAACCGTTGGATCTTCAAAGGAGGATGTAGATGATGTAGTAGTAGTGTAGGTGTCATCATCTTCACCATCCATGATTGTCCAGTGATCTTCATGTTTCGCATCACCAGCATATAGAGAGCATGGACTTTTAGGCATTTGCTTTTTGCCTTCACCCATTGATATGGTATATATATCAAGTGGAAGAGGAAGAAGAAGAAGAAGAAGAAGAAGAAGAGGAAGAGGAGGAGGAAGAAAGGATGAAGGAGGTGGTTATGACCTTTATTCTCATAAAAGTTACCATATATATCATACAGACATGAGCTTGGGACCATTTTGAGGGAGCAGATATATAAATATATATATATACATGCATGAGTATATGTGGATTAGGTTTAAGTTGCTTTAGGGAAATGAATTTCTCATGACAGATGGAAAAATGGGTTTTTCATGATTTCGAGGCCTAATGATGACACATGTGCAGAAAATAAAAGTGGACTTGTGGAACTAATTTCAAAAAGTAACACTACATAAATAATAAATAATTATTCAGAAAATTAATATTAAACGAGTGTTAATTTTAACGTTTTGAAACAAAATATCTATTAATTTTTTTAAAATTGTTTAACAACATCCCATCACATCATTCTAATTATAATTTGGACAATGATTGGTGGCCATAAATTTTGTGGCTCAAATAGCCTGAAAATGTCAAAACGACGTCGTTTTGACATTTTTAAAGTTGTTTTGTACTCAAAACGACGTCGTTTTGACATTTTCAGACCATTTGAACCACAGAATTTATGGTCACCAATCATTTTCTTTTCTCCTAGGTTATGAGTTTGTTTTGACTTTTTTTGCTGTTGTGGTTGTACACCTAAAACATGTCGGTACAAATTTGGCATGTTTAAAAAAAAGAAAAAGAAAAAAGAGTTAACTTTTAATTATTTTTTTTTAAAAATTATTAAATTAATTTATCATCAACTAAAAAATTATATGTAACATCGTTTATTTACCTTAAGAAATATATATATTTTTATAAATTTTCAAACATATTAACTTCTTAATTCTTAAAAAATCTAAGAGGCCATAAAAATAAAAATAAAATAAAAAATAAAAAATCCCAAGCGATCACCTGCATGTGCACCCTCGCGCGGAGGGTTGAGAAAAAAGGCTTGAACACATGATGACCATGTTTGATTGGGGTTTTGAAATAAGCATTGAATCAGTAATTTGTGAGTCTTATTTAGATCATATTTATTTGTAGATAAATGATAGGAAATTGTTAATCTTATTAGACTATTACTCCGCTCTCATATTGTTATTATCACGGAAGAGTTGGAATGGATTAGTGGTTAAAAGATTATTTTGTCTTTTATTTTACAAAATCAATTACAGGTTCATTTGAGAAATGAGTTGGCTTTTTAACTTTTTGATTATTTTAGCCTAGGGTTAAAAATTTTCGTTTGGAAAGGATTTTTTAACTTTTTGTGAGAGAAAGAATATAATGATTATGGGTTAGATGTGATATTCTATCTTATTAGACTAAAAAACTTATTTTATTTTTTTGTGGTTAAAATAGTCCCAAACTCAACCCAACCATTCTTCCCAAACGAAGCCAACATGTGTTAAGAGTTTTTACATAATTTGTATATTTAATTTCAACTAACTAATACTTCCACACTAATACATAAATAAACTCATTTTATTTTATATCTCTAATCTAATATTATCACTCAATCTCATCGTACTCATAATCTCATCTAAGGGTTTGTTTGGATACGAGTTGACTTTTTGGTTATTTTAACCTGGGGCTAAAAAATCTCGTTTGGAATGGACTTTTTAAACCATCACATCATGTTTTGGATGAGAAGAAAGAAGAAAATCAACAAGGGACACAAGGGGGAAAATCAGCAAGAACATGAAACACTTGTTATCGATTTCAACACATTTTTCACTGATTTCAAAATACTTTTTAGCTTTTTCACTTATTTTCAAAACAATATTCACCCCAATCTCGATGCAAACCAGTGTCCCAAGGTAAAAGTTAGCATTATCCAGACAGAAATTGACACAAATATAAACACCAATTGCATTTCCTAAATATATAGAGACCATCATTACTCACAAACTAACCTATAGAAAGGGCTTCTATAGACCAATCAGCTATATATTACTTCTAGCTAGGATTCAAAAACCTACATGATTCAACTTAAAAGAAACATCAACAAATAGAACATTTAACTTGTAACAAAACACATATACAAATTCATATGTAGGCAATTCAAAGTACTCAATTCCCAACTTACTCTATACCAGTGGCATAGCCAGAAATTTGATTCAATGATATCATTAAGCTATTTGCCTTCGATATCATTATTTCATATTATTAGTTCTACAAAAATTATTAAAATAAGCTTTCACATAATATACCACAACAGAAATATAAAATCATATATTTGCAATAATAACATTGCATACATAATTTAAATTTGTTGGATTTCACCAAATGAACTGAGATAGAAAAAAAAGACAAAGTAAGACTTCATTTGAAGAAGAAAAAAAATCATAAACATTTAACAATCTCATGCTTAAAAAATAAGATAAGAAAGAGAGAGAGAGAAGTAACTCTTAACTAAATTTTACTTTTAAAAAGAAAAATTTAATATACAAAAATTTTTTTTATACAAAATGATGACTTATTATTTCCCCTTCATTTGCAATTACAACACTCACAATTGCCCTCATAATTTTTATAAATACCATTAACACATCATTTTGGATATATTTTCTATTTAAACTGTCTATTTTCAAAATCATTTTGACACAATCATATTTACTTTTTAACAATTTTACTGATGCTAATTT